CACCATGGGGGTGCCAGGAGGAGATGAGAGAAAGAAACTGAAACCCTATTTGAAAAAACAACGACAGAAAACTCCCCTCACCTGGTAAAGGTGACAGACGCACAAGTCCAGGAGCACAGAGAGTCCCAAACGAGATGAGACCAGAGAGACCCACTCCAAGACACATAATTAAAATGCAAAAGGTTGAAGACAAAGAATCTTTTTTTCTAAATCCTTGCCCGAGGGTGTATCATTATTGATTTTGTGGGAGTGGGGGGGTGGAGAGACAGAGAGAAACATTGATCGGTTGTCTACTCTACACCCCAACAGGAGACCGAACCCACAGCTTAGGTATGTGCCCTGACTGGGAACTGAACCCATAGCCTTTTGGTGCTGAGGATGACACTCCAACCAAATGAGCCACTCAGCTGGGGTGACAAAGAGAGAATCTTAAAAGCAGCAGGAGAAAGGCAGCCGGTTACCTGCAAGGCCGTTCCCACGAGACTGCCAGCGGACTTCTCAACAGAAGCTGTGCGGGCCAGGAGGGCCTGGCAAGCGGCATTCAAAGGGATGAGAAGCAAGGACCTACAGCCAAGGCGACTTACCCAGCAAAGCTGTCGCTTGGAATCGGAGGACAGACCCAGAGCTTCCCAGACAAAAAAAAAACAAACAAACTAAAGGAGTTCGTCATCAGCAAACTGTTACATGAAATGTTAAAGGGACTTCTTGAAGAAGAAGAGATAAAAATATGAACAACAAAATAGCAATTAACACATGTCTATCAACAATTGAATCTAAGAAATAAAATAAACAAGCAACAGAAACAGACTCACAGATGCAGAGAACAGTTCGACGGTTGTCATGGGGGCGGGGAGCTGGGGGGCGGGGGTGGAACCGTGAGGGACTAGGAAGTACACGTGGGTGGGTGCGGACAGTCCCGGGGTGTGAGGTGCCGGCGGGCGCGAGGCTGTCGGGACCCTTCCTCAGCACGTGGTGGAATGTCTACTGGTCCGTGGGGCGCATGCCCGCGGCGAATATCACAGTGCAGGCCAACCGTGGTTGGAATTTAAAAACACGATTAAGAATAAGACCACACATGTCGTCATCACCCGTGACAGTGTGGCTGCACCCACACACTCCACCCTTCCCTGCCGGCGCGTCTGATGGGGCCACAGGATGCCCCCTGCGCACCTGCCCTTCCTCCTGCACGCAGGTTCCTTTGAGGGTCAAAGGTAGAGTAGCCTGTTTCCTACTTCAGCTGACACAGTGCTGCCAAAATTTGCATCTTCCACCATTGAATTCCCCAGAGGTTGGTTCAGCGGTAGAAGCACACGGCGGGACACCGTGGGGGTTTCAGAGTGGGGTCCCCCCGGGGGCGGGGATGAGGCATGCGGGTGGGTGCGCTGTGTTCAGATTTACCTGTGCCCTGCCTTGTTGCAGGGCCAGTGCGGGGTGCGTGCACGGGGACAAGGGGAAGTAAATTTGGGGTGAGAGACAGAGAAATGTGTCCACCAGAGCTGAAGTGGACACGGCATGGGGTCGGTCAGTGCCCTCTGCTCCCTCCCCGAAGTGCAGGCGATGAGCCCGTCAGCAGCCAGAGGAGGAAGGGGGCCGACCGGCCCCTGCTCCCAGGGGGGCAGCGGGGGAGCCGCAGCGGGGATGCCGTCTGGCCCTGACTCCAGGCGGCGAGAGAATCGTCTCCTGTGGGTCTTCAGCCGGAAGACGCTGCATTTGCAGTGGCCCGCGTCCTCCACGCAGCCCCAGGGCCGTGCCCCGAGTGCCCTCGCTTCTGAGGCCACTCCCTCTCGTGGTCCTCGGGGTGCGGCGGGTGTCACGCCTCCGCCCTCGCAGCGAACGGTGGTGGGTCACTAGGCTGAGATGTGGGTTCCGGGGTTCAATCCGGAAACTGCCTCACAGGGACCTGGAGGGGCCCGTGAGTGCGACCACACTGCCCTCGCCCCACTCCGGGGCACTTCTCTCCGAGGCGGCGCGGACCACGCCACTCTGGCGGGCCGCCGCGAGCGGAGCCCCGTCCTGCCCAGAACACTGGGCTCGCAGCTGCCACGCCACGCAGCGAGGGCGTCCGAGATGGCACTCGTGCGTTGGGGCTGCAACAGGAACCGAACAGAATATTTTCCTTAAAAAAACCAGCCACAACTCTGCACTTGGTCCACGCAGAGAACTGGGGCTTGTTCACGGGGGGGGGGGGCGGGGGGTGATGCCACCAGCCTGAAAGGGTCAGGGCCCCGTCCTGAGAAGTCCTGGGGCCGCGTCCAAGCCCCAGTCTGCCGGCGGGCCGTGGCCCGAGAGCGTGTCGGCAGACGCCGGGGCCTGCAGGCTGGGCAGCGGGGCGCACTTCCAGAGAGCTGGGAGGAGGGGCTGAGGTTCGCCCCCGCGTCTGTTAGCCTCTGGCCTCGGGGACACCGCCTTGGTCAGTCTGCACGGCCACGTCCGAGGGCCATGCTTAGGTGCGCTTACAGGACGCCCCCTGGACTGAAACACGAGGCGGGCAGCAAACGCCGAACCGGGGGTCACCTGAAGGCACATCACCCCACAGCCTGTGAAATGGCTCAGGGGGGCACGACCATGTGGTTAGAGTTTTTGGCTACGAGATGGTGTCAAACCCGGTACTGAGTCAGGGGCAGGGGCACCAAGTTCATGGGGAAGCAGGGCGGCTGGAAGCCGTGGGGGGCCAGGAGGTGGGACGAGAGGCCGCCAGGGTCCGCTGTGGGGTCCCAGGCGGGGGCACGCTGCAGCGAGCGGCGGTCATACGGCCTCGGGACAGGCTGGCCTGTCCCTCTGGGAGTCGGCGCCGTCGGGGAAGGGCGTGGCGTTCCTGGGCCGGAAAGGCGGTCACAGGAAGCGCTGTCCTTTGTGGACTGGTGCGCTACTCTACTGCTCACTCACACGCACCCCCGGACCTAGTGGCTGAAAACAACGACCTGTCGTCTCCATGGCTCTGTGGGTGGTGGGCGGTCACTCAGCTGGGGGGGTGGGTTCACCCACGGGCTGCCTCCCGCCGGAGGGTCAGCGGGGCTGGGAGGTACCCACGGCTGCCAGCGGGGCTGGTCGTCGGTGCTGAGTGTCGCCTGTCAGCGGGGCAGCCTTGCTCTCTGGGTGGCCTCCCGTCCTGCAGGAGGCTGGGCCAGTGGCGGCCTCCCGGGCATCACCCAAGAGAGTGACAGGCCGGTGTCAAAGGTCTTTAAGGCCTACCTGGGCCCCAGAGCCCTCCTGGCTGGCCTTCTCCTGTGCTGCTGGTCAGCAGGGCCCAGGCCAGCCCAGGACCCTGGGGGCGGGGACACGGATCTCACCCGGGATGACAGCAGTGGCCGTGTCCTACTGCAAAGCAACGCCCGGTCATTCCACGATTGAGTGCGGTGGCCGGGGTGCCGGTGCAGCTAACTCACGCGTGCAGCTAACTCACGTGTGCAGCTAACTCACGTGTGCAACTAACTCACGCGTGCAGCTAACTCACGCGTGCAGCGAGCCGTCTGGCGCGGAGGCCTCCATACCCGGGTCGGGCTCCGAGGGGCCCTGGCTCTGGCCCAGGGTGGCGGGATGAGACGGGGACGAGGATTCGGCCCTCAGTCTCTCTCCAGCTGCACGGGAGGGAGGGATTGGCTCAGTTTCCCTCAGTCCCGTGAGCCCAGTGAACGTGACCACCCCTTGTTCCGCGTGGGGAGCAGGCAGTGAGGGAGAGGCAGAGGCAGGCCGGCACCTCCCCCCTCGGCCACGGCGCCGCGTCCCGGGGGCTCATCAGGTGGGCGGTGTGGAGGCGAGAAGGCCCTCCCCCGTCCCCAGAGGCCCCCTTGGGCTCTGGCTTCCGCGGGGGTCCCCTCGGGGGAGGGGGTGGCGTCCTGCCGGCACAGGGGGGAAGTGTTCGGGGAGCCGTGGTCAGCGAGCAGGGCCTATGCCCCGGAAGTCACGGCGACCTCGGCCGTCGGCGCCCAGAGCGGGCTGAGGACAGAGGGGGGACAAGTGGTGGCGGTGTGAGCCAGCCCTTCTAAAACTCCGTCCTTGAGGGGGGTGGGTGGGTGGGGCCAGGAGAGAAACGGGACCCAACTGGGGGTCTGCGCCTCCAGGGAGCCCCAGCCGGTCTGGAAGCCAGTCGCATGGTCCAGGAGAGGGGAGAGTGACCGGGAGCAGGAGACTTCTGGGGGCCCGGAAAGGAGGGGGGAGAAGCCGCAGGGTGGAGGTGCGGGTGTCAGAGCAGAGTTTCAGGGTGGCTGTGGGGGGGGCGGGGACGGGGTGGGGGTGGTCGTGGTGGGGGGCTGCGAGTTCGGGAGGTGTGGGAAGAGTTTCTTTGGTGTCCACGCCCCTGTGAACCAGGAGGGCAGTTCTGGCATGAAGCGCGTGTCAGACACGCCCACGTGCACCCTGGCTGTGTGCCGGCCACCGCACGCGGACCAGTGTGAGCGAGGTCCCGCCCTTCTCCACTTTCGCTGTGTGCGCCTTAGCTTCTCCGAGTCGTGAGCACTGCTGGGCTTTATCAGCTCCCGCTGTTTTCTTGCCCGATGCGGTGAGGACGGGGCCACTGCTTCCCGCCAGGAGCCTGGGCCTTCTGGGCCAGTCTGTGAGAGTCCTGGCCGCGTCCTCGTCCTCGGTCCGGCGTGGCTGCGGGAGCCAGCGGCTGCTCGGGAGAAGCTGAGCTGGGGGCGTGATTGGGTTAACTCGCGTCCGACAGGCCCTGAGTGGAGGCCACAGCCTGATTACCAGGAGCCCTTCAGTGTCCGCACGGAGCTCTTTCTTGGGGGGGGGGGTTCTCGACACACACCCCACGGACCCCGTGAACGGAGAGCGAGTGCGGAGAGGACCGAGTGCCCAGGAGAACAAAGACTCAGGAAAAGCTAGCTTTTGGGGGAATAATGAATTTCTTGAGGGTGCACTTGTTAAAAACGCATCGGCGAAGTTGACAGTTCACAGATTGGGTAACGTGCACCTCCTGCCGTGCTCTGTGGCGTGACTTCCAGCCACCCGCCGGGGGTGGGGGGACGCTCACCACACACGTTGCCTTTCCGCAGAAGTGAGTGAGTAGCCGGCGCCGGCCACCCTCCAGGACCACCGGGGACAAGCGGACTCCACGGGGCCCAGCCTTCTCCTCCTCCTTGAGGTCACTCGCACGCTCCGACCGGCCCTGTCTCAGGTCAGACGCCCCGCCCTCCCCGGGTCCTGACTCCGTCTTCCCCGTCTGTGCGCCCACGCAGCCTCGGGCCCCTGTCCGCTTCGCTCTCAGGGAATCGTTATTACCCCTGCTCTGCCTCACTCAGGGAGCCCCGATGCTGGGTAACCCAGGTGCAGAGCGTCCTTTTATGTATTGTCTGGTTAACACTAAACCGGAAGACCACGAGGTAGGACCTCTAACACCCAACAAACACACCCTGAAAAAGGCGAGTGCGCAGTGAGGTGGGTGGTCTCAGGGAGGAGGGCAGCCTCGGCGTTCCTGCCCAGCGCGCCCCCGGGGAAAGGAGGGCAGGGTCGTCACCGGCGGCGTGCGCGCTGTCGGGCGCCTGTGAGCGGCTGGTTCTGACTCCGAGGCCGGCGGCCAGCGGGTGCGGGGCGGCGGGGGTGGCCCCCGTTGACGCATTTCCTTTCCCTTTGAGCTCAGCTCTGTCCCCGAGGAGCTGGAGGGCCGCTGCGTTCGCCGCAGCGAATGCTCCCAGGTCCCGTTCTGGTCTGCCTGTCCCCGCGACCTCCAGGAGCCGGAGGGAGTCCGGCCCCACGGGGCAGAGAGCATCCTTTGAGCGTGCCTGTATCCACATTGCCGTTCTTTTCGCTGGCTCTGTCCTTAGAAGCTGGAGCTCTTTTGTGAAACTCCTTGAGTTCAGAGATGAAATGCTGGGGAAGACTTTGGGGCCAGGGACATGCGATGGCAGAGTTTTTGAACAGCTGAATGCTAATTTAAGCAGTGACAGTGGTGTGGTTATTTTCCCAGGTGGTGGTATTCTTCTTAGGGTTTAAGTTTTGTTTTAAATGTTGTTTGTCCTACTGTAAAATTAGTTTTTATTATTCCATTATTTTTTTTGTTTAGCTATTGCAGATAATGTTAATTAATTCTATTATGATTTTTGGCTTAATCGTTTCTTAGAAATTATCTAATCCACTCTCATTTTATAAATGAGGAAATTGAGGCATAGAGAAATCAGGTGATCTGTCCTGAGTCTAGTTAAAAATACTACTAAACAAACATTTCAGTTACGGCACTTGAAATTCCTTCTCAACGTTAAACCCTAAGACTGAAATAATTCTGAGTATGATGATGTTAAATTGGTCTCTTGAAATTTATAACATCGAGATCTTTAAGACAACAGGTTTCCCCTCTTTTAGTTTAAATACAAGTTAAAGATATTTGCCGAATTGCTGACAAAGACTTGTAATTCTTACGGTTTCTTAGTATGCTTCCATTTGAGCCAAATCGCGAAGCACGAAAAACCCAATCTCGTCCTTTTTTAAAGTTAGAAAAGTGAACTCAGGTTTCTCGGGAGCCACTGGCGGCGACTTCCTGCCCTCGCTTCCCTCCGCAGGCGGGCGGGGCGCGGGGGGCATGGACGCCGCCGCCGGGCCGCCCGCCGGCGTGCTGCTGGCCAGCTTCTGCGTCTTCCAGCTGCTCTTCCACGTCCTGAGCCCCCGGCTCTCCGCGGCCGTGTCTCCGGGCTTCAGCGGCCTCAGCTCCGAGAAGAAGATCGAGTGGAACTCGAGGTAAAGCTCGTGGGGACGGAACGGATTTTTTTCCCATTATTTAAAGTATCTCCAAAAAGCATTTCACTTAGGATCTAAGAAAACCTAAGCTCAGTTGACCTTAGGAACACAGGAAAAGCAGGCAGATCTCACACAAGAAGGGCTTCAACGTTCCTTGTATTGAAGACGGGGGACGGCTTGGCTCAGCTCCCCAGGCGGCGGGGTGCGAGGGGGGCGGCCCGCGGCAGCTGCGGGGACGGGCTGCCCTGCGTGGCCCTCTGGAGCTCCCCGGTGACCAGCAGCGCGTGTCCCGAGCACGGGACGCAGAGATAAACAGCAGCGGGGCCAGCGGCAGCCTATATATAGCCTTGGCCGCTGAGGCCGGGCGGGGAAGGGGACGCGGAGCCGGGGGGACAGCGTGTCTCCCTCTCAGCGAACTTGGGAGCACAGCCCGGAGCCTTCCAGAATTCTTCTCGTGCTCCGTGATTCTAAAGTAAAAATGCACTTTCGCTTTAAACAAAAATGAGTGGAAAGGGAGTGAGAGACTGCCGCTCCCGAGACTGTCAGCTGCATCCTCGGACACGCTGCTGCTTTGGAGCCTCTGACCAGTAGGCAGGTTTCCAGCCGGAAACTGCAGACCTTTCTGGTTCCGGAGCGAAGGGGTCCCGGGGGTCTCTGCGTGGCGGTTTCTCGTTCCTCGAGCTCTCAGATGAGCTCCATTCCTGCCCTAAGTGGTTCCAGGTTCGACTGCTCCGGAACGTTAAACGTCTCACCAGGGTTCAAGTTCACTGCGAAGAATCTGACGTCTTCCTGTGCGTTTCCTTTCGTTCCAGGGTGGCGTCCACCTGCCATTCCCTGGTGGTCGGGATCTTAGGCCTGTACATTTTCTTTTTCGACGAGGCAACCATCGCAGACCCACTCTGGTAAGCTGTTTCTTCCCAGTGCCGTCAGTGTGATTCATGCTTCGGTGTTAATTATTCATCAGGACGTCCCTCACTGTGCTTTGAAACACAGGCATATTGACGGGGTGTGGTTTATTGAGATGCTTGTGTTCAGCCTTGCTTCCAGAAGGCGCATTAACGTGACTTATTTTAGATTCGAGTACAAACAACGGGCACCGTGGTGCCTCAGCATCCCCACCGGTGTCCGGACGAGAGGAACATGGACAATGGGAGCATTTATACTGAGCTAGCGAGCGAGACCGAGCCGTCGTCACCCCTGTCCTGAGCAGCAGGGAGGGACTGTCACAGCCAGACGGCCGGTGTGAGACTCCGACAGTCGACCCCCGTGCCCTGGCGGCGAAGACATGCAGGCGGGGAGCGGCGGGCTCACGCGGGAGCCGTCCGGGTGCGCAGAGGCCCCGGCGGGAAGCTCCCGTGACAACCGTGCCCAGCGAAGACGGGGTCACCCCTAAGGCGGTTCCCTCAGAGGACAGGGAAGCGTCAGTCAGCCCCACGGGGAAACGCCCCACACGGCCTCCTGGCGCTTCCTGCGGGGACGCAGCCTGCTCCCTCCGGGAGAGGAGGGGCGCCCCAGAGCGCACCGCGGAGGTCGCGGTGCCCTGGCCGCTGCGGAGCCCGCGCGGTTTGCCGCCCGCTGCCTCCCGAGCCTGAGATTTCGCCCACTCCCGACACCTCCTCGTGGGGACGCTTTTTCCAGAGCGAATCCATTTAGTGAGTTTAACTTTCTGGCCAAGTTTTATGTAAGCCCCCTAAACGATGTCTAGCTTTTTCCCTTTTCCTGTTTCCTTTTTATACAACCATGGCCACCAACAGTACCAGTGCTTTTGGGAAGTGAATTTCATAACAGATTTGATTCATCGATCAATTTTGGCCCTTATCAAACTTCTGCCTGGAGCGATTTTTTGTAGTTTTGCATTTTCTTCAACGCCCCGGCTGACCCCAGGCCCCGCCCTCCCGGCCCAGACGGGCCGCGAGAATGCGGGAAGGGGCCCAGGTGCCGCGAGCCTCTCCCGCGTGCAGTGCAGCGGTGGCCAGCTCCGCCTCGGTGCCCGTCGCTGGGGGTGCTCGCTGTGACCCAGGTGACGGGGGGCCGGGAGTCCGTGTGCACCCCTCGGGCCGGGTCCCTGTGTTAGCAGGGAGACGGTGGGACCTCGCCGTGTCTCCACGCGAGGCTGGGACGGCAGCACCCGGCGGCCCCGCCCCGACCAGGCCGGACGTGGGACCCCGGGCGAGCCCCTCGGGTCCCCGGGCCAGCGACAACGAAGAGGAGAAGAACACGTCAGGCACAGGCAGTAATGAGCCCCACGTCAGGCACAGGCTAGAGGACTTCTTGAGGTCACCTGAGTCTCTCATGCAGAATAAGAAATAAGAAAGAAGTCAGCCTCCAAATTCCATTCAAATCCGTTCTGAAACAAATCACATGAAAACACCTTTATAAACAGTTGCCTTTTGGTAAAATGATTTTCCTAAAACTTCCGGCTAATCAATATAAGAAATTATGATTATTTGTGCAGTTAGAAGTATTACTGTAGCTAACTCATTACTTTGTGCCAATGACAATTTATTGTTTGAGAACCTATGGGGAGCATTTTGGTTATATTTAAATCTCGATAGAAAAAAAGTAGCTGTCATCTATAACCCATGTGCTAAAAAAAGGAACTTTTTTCCAAAAATATTTATAGGGGTAATTCATCGCTTGTGAAAGTGAATGTTGCTATTGCTTCGGGCTACCTCATTTCCGGTATGTGGTATGTTTCTCACTGTCTCTCTTAACATCACTCACGGAGTTACACGCAAGGAATACATAGTCTGTGCTTTTGGGTGGCTGACCCGAGAAGAAGCGGTCGGGACCCACGCGGGGGCAAGCGGTGCCTGCTGCCGCGGCAGGACAGGGCGGGCCCCCAGCGGCGCGGCCCGTGGGCGGGGTCCAGCATGGGGCCGGGCCTCCATCCGGCTGGGGCTGGTCTTACCGGCGCCGGCCCCTCCCTGGCCCAAGAGCCTGAGCTGCTCCTGTGGTTGCAGCCGAGGCGGCTCTCGCGTGCAGAGGCTCCTGGCGTGTGCTCCCACGTCCACGGCGTATTGCTTTGGGAAAATTTGCAAAGGCTATTTTAGCCGTGACCACTTCAGGTCCTGGAATCTTCTATTCCACATCTCCCTGTGTGGTGCTGCCCTCGGGTCGGGTGGGCCGGGAGGAGCCCTGGATCCCGGGGATGGGGGGACGGTGGGCGGCGGGCGGCGGGTGGAGTCCAGCCTCTGTCGCTGAGGCGGCTCTGTGAAGGGGCGGGTCGGCCGGCTCCACAAACGGGACAGATGGCGGAGCCGCGGCGCGAGCACTGACTGGGGACCCTGTTGAACAGGGAGTGGGGGGAGAGAGTCCAAGCGGCGACAGCAGAGCGGGAAGCGAGAGTGGTGCAGCGGCTGAGTGAGAGACTCAGAAAGCTCCCCGCTCCCCGGCAGGGACGAGAAGTTAGACAGACAGACTGACCACCCGGAGCGGGGGAGTCCCCTGGGGACGGGGTGGGCCTCCGAGAAGAGGAGGGGGAGGAGGCTCGGGGGTGATCTGGTGGCCCGGCTAAGAGGAGTGAGTCACGCGAACACAGTGAAGAACATTATGCTCTCTGGGCCCCAGACGCGGGCGCTGACCACGGTAACACAGGATCCGCCTCCCGCGAGGCTCGAGGGTGCCGCCCACGCAGGGAACCCTCGGCACCCGGGAGTCTCGGGTGGAGGGAGCTCCTGGAGCGAGGTTCCCCAGATCAGACAGCAGCCCAGCACCCTTGCCAGGCAGAGCGGGGAGCGGACACCCCCTTTCTAAACCAGGAGGAGGAGGGTGGACGCTCTGTGCTCTCTCTCCAGAGGGCGTTGCCGGTCACTGTCGCCGCACCGGTGACTGGGGTGAAGGTGGCCAGCGGGGGGGCGGCCCTGAGTGCCCGTAGCACCTCATTTTCCCGATTTCCCATTTGTGGCATTTACTTCCTCGTTTAAAGTTGGCGATCCAGTGATTTTTTTTCTCTTGCCAAATAATCACATCGGTGATTTTGTTTCACGTTTCACGAAAGAAGCCCCATGTTCTCTCAGCTCCGACCCCACGAGGCCTGGCCGTCACTCGGCCCCACCCCTCAGTGGCCCGCGTGCCCGCGGGGCGGTGAGAACACCGGGGTCGGCGTGCTCAGAAGGTCCCGTTCTGTCCACGGGAACTCTGTTCGGAGCCGGGGAGTTTAGATTCGGGACCTTTTAAAGAAAGAGCGATGCCTTGGCCTCTTCTGTTGTTTACCTTTTTAACAGTCATCAGTCCCGGTGGGCCCTCGCTATTTTGAATTAATATTTGATCACGTCCTGTGTTAATTTTTAAACACGTTTTGTTGACTTCATGTTATAAGTGAGTTGGTCATTTCTTACCTTTGCTGCGACCACCTCCTCTGTTTGAATTACTGTAGGGCTGGAGATCAGAACTCTAACCTTATTTCAAAATGAGTTGTTGCTCGGCCATAGTGTTCTCACTCTGTGTAGATCTGGGAACACGTTGTTCGCTCCTGCTTCCCACAGCGGGCCGCCCTGCTCAGCGCCCCAGGGGTCCTCGTGCCGGAGCGGGCCCCCCGTGCCGAGTGGGGGACACGGTTATCGGGGAGCGGCGCTGGGTGGAACGGTGGGCCCCGGCTCTGCGCTAGGGACGCCGCCCCGCGGGCCCCGGGCGCCCGGGGGCAGCTGGCAGAGGGCTGGACGCACTCGGACGCGGCGCGGCCTTCCTCCCCCCTGGTGCGACGCCCCGCCGACCTTCCCGCCCACAGATTTGCTGGCCCTGCTCCTGTACTGGAAAGTGATCGGAGACAAGTACTTCGTGGTCCACCACTGCACGGCGCTGTACGCCTTCTCTGTCATCCTGGTGCGTGCCGGGGCTGGCTCGCGGCGGGGGGCGGGCCGGGGGCGCAGGGTGGACGGACATGCGAACGCACGGGTCTTAGCTGCCTGGGACCAAGTCCAGAAGCAGCCGGGGTCCCCCTCCTGACGGGTTCCCTTGTCCGCTAACAAAAGCGACAGCTTCACTTGGGTGTGTGTGTTGGGGCATTTATTTGCATTCATGGTCATTTTTTAGGCCATTTTTCAGGCCCTTTGAGAAAGGCAGATGGCCCCATTTTTTAAAAAGTTTCCACCTAAAACCTGTGGGATCATCTAGCTATTGAAACCGGCCTGTCCTCCTGGGTGCATTTATGGCCAGGCCGAGCCCTCGCCCCGCGAGGGGGGACGCTGCTCTGGCAGACGTGGAAACCCCGCCAGGCCGGACGGGAGCTGCGACTCCGCCCGCAGTTTGCTGGCAGTGGGGTTTCAAGGTTCGCAGCTTGCTTACTTGAAGATGTCGGTGCAGGTCAACCCTACCCCTTCAACAGCAGCTCCCTCAGTGGTGTTTCAGAGGGGTTCTCCAGTCGGAGGGAGGGGTGGGGTAAGGAGGAGTGACCAGCACGGGCCGAAGGCTCCCGAATGGCCGCCCACGCCCGTGGGCGTGAGCGCCAGGGGCCCGGGAGTGGGCAGGTGATGCGGCGCCCACGCGGGCATGCAGGAGGCAGGACGAGGCAGCCCGGTGGTGCGCACCACCTGGCGCTGAGGGGTCTGGGCGCGACGCAACACGCAGGGGACTAGTGTAAAGGCCCGCAGGTCAGTGCCCCGGCGAGTCAGCGCCGCCGCGGCAGCGCCGGGCACGGAGAGGCGGCCGCGGTAACGCCTGCTACGTTTCCGGGCTGAGTGTGGATGTCTGTAAACAGACTTCTGAGCCTAGAAATACAGGGCTTGGGAGGTGACACGCTCTCTAGCCGGCCTCCCCGGAGACAGCGTGCACCACACCCGAGTATCCCTGTGGCGTGCACGCGGCCGCCGACGCTGTTCGCGCAGTTGCCGCGTTCGGCGTGAGGCGGCGGCCCGGTGTCTGTTTGTGCAAGTGCACAGTGTGCGCCTGCGTGCGCACGGGTGTGCGCCACGCTCCTGCCCCTGGAAAGCTCTGTGCCGCTCCAGCGGCGCTCCTGAGTTCCGCTCCAGAAGCGGCTCCGTGTCGCGGACTCGGCCCGTGTTGGTGTGGACGGTGGTTCGCGCTGGGGACCGCGGAAGGTTTTCCCGGCGTCGGGAAGCCGGCGGGAACGCGCCCCTGACCTTGCCTCCCCTGTGCTCCGCAGATCACCGGCTCGCTGCAGTACATCGGGAACTTCCGCCTGCTCGCGGAGCTCTCCAGCCCCTTCGTGAACCAGCGGTAGGTCCCGGCGCGGCCCCGCGCGCTCCCAGCGATCCTTTCCCCGGGGCCGGGGGCCCCGAGGCTCCTGCGCAAGGCCCAGCCGAGTGGCGAGTGGCGGGAGGCGCTGTCCCCAGAGGCGCTGCGGGCCCGGGGGAGGGGGGGCGCGGCCCCTCTTCGCCCTCCGGACGCCGGCGTGTCCTGTTGGCCCTTCCGCCCTTTCAGACCGGCTCCCTCCGCGGGCGTTCGCTGGGGTGGTTCCGTGAGCGGCGGCCCGATTCCAGGGGTCAAGTGCGGCGACGTCCGTCCGGAGCCCGTCTCGTGGCCTCTGTGCTGGCCGCCGCGGCCGGTCACCCCGCTGTCCTCCCGCCTGCTCCCTTACGTCCCGACGCCACGCGCCCCTGGGCCCGGTCTTTCCAGGAGCCCGTCCGTCTGCTTCTAAGGGGCAGCCCCTCCAAGGCTGGCGGCCCCGGACCACCCCCGCGCCCTGACCGGCTCCAGGCTTCTTCCCGGCCAGCGCTCCTGGCGGAGTTTCCGGTCTCACCTGGTCGCTCACTTCGGGGCGTGGGCTGTGCGGGAGCTTCAGAATCAGAGCAACTGGAGGGGCATCGGCCGGCCGCTTCCTCGCTCTGACCTCGGATGGGCGGGGGTCGCTTTCCGCGCGGGAGGGGCGTGAGGAGCACCTGCTGCCTGCTCCTCGGCGCTCGGGCTCAGCGCGCCCCCCACCCGCCCCAGGCAGCCGCCCGGGCTCCGCCGGTCTGGGTCGAGTGCCCCCCCCGTCTGCTGAGACTCTCCCGCTCTCCGGCTCAGCCCTCGGTCCGGCCCTGTCCCCACCCGGGCACCACCTGGGGCTCTGCTTCCATCAGCAGGGGCCACCGTGGTGCCTCCGAGGTCCCACCGCCTCGCCCTCTGCGCCGCGCGGCCGTTGTTACTGTTGTAGAAGGTTCTCCTGCACGGGGTTGAGGGGAGGGTGGCAGGAGCGGCGTCCAGCAAACCAGGCTCTCGGGCCATCCCCCGCCTGTTTTTATGAAGAAGTCTCATCTGTTTACCACGGCTACTCCCCCACCCCGGGGGGGGACCCCACTCGCCGTGACGGACAGCGTGGAGCAGCCACAGCCCGCCTCTGGGGTCCCTGCCCCCTGCCTCTGGTCCTGTCCCTGGTCATCTCGCTTCTCTGTCATCCTCTGGGGCGGGCGCCCCGAACACGGACAGGAGTGAGCGTGGCCCCGCCCGTGGCCCCTGTCCCACGCGGAGAGCCCTCCGAGTGGTGGCCCCGCCTCTTCCGCTGCGCTCCCCCTGGCACACCTCTCCTCGCACCTGCCTGCCTGCCTGCCTGCCTGCCTGCCTGCCACGGGCGGGAAAGGCCCCCCGGGCCCCCCCGCCATTCTTCGGGACCCACCCAGGACGGGTCCCCTCTCCCTGCAGAGCCGCCTCTCTCCGGCCAGGTCGGCGCACCTGCCCTGCACGTTCCCCGCCGCGGCCTGCCTGCGGGCGCACCGCGGGACGTTCGCGAGTCCTTGCAGAGCCCCGGCTCTCCCGCCCGCCCACCCGCCCCCGGGCTCTGTGCCTCAGCAGAGGAGGAGGCTGTGGTGGGAGGCCCCTTCCCCAGGGCTGCGGTCCCGGACCCCCGGGTCTGCGGAGCACTGTCCATCCCACAGACACGCTTCTGTGCCGGGGGCGTCGCAGGCCACGCGAGGGTCAGCCGCGGCCCCGGGTGCTGCAGGGTGTCCCAGCAACAGTGCAGCGCCCCGGCCCCGGCCCCGCCTGGAGCTCGTCCAGGTCGCGCACAAAGGTCCAGTGTGTGTTCCCAGCGACACTCGTTAAAATTCTCTCCATTCCTCTGGCGCTCCCAGTGCCCGCACTGCCCACCCCGCCCCCCCGGCCCCTGCAGCCTTGCCGGGCACTGTCTGTGCCCCTCTGCTCCCACCAGCGAGGCCCGGTGGGGGGGTGTGCCTCCCCCCCCGCGTCCTCTTCCCTCACGTTTCCTCTCTCTCCACCTGCCAGTGACCCCCCGACCCCTTCCCAGCATGCATCGGGGCAGCCAGGCGGGGGCATGAAAACACCCGCGGGCGGTTCACACAGTTTGTGGACACGGGGTCGTGAGGGCCGCACCACGGGGCCCCCAGGAAAGGGCATCGGGAGGCTCAGTCCCGTCGGGAGGGTGTGGGGGGGGGCTCGAACCGACCCCAGGCCCGCTGTCCTGTGCGGGGAGAGGGAGGCGGCACGCGGCGACCCCGCCGCCAGTCCTGTCCTGCCTGGCTCTCTGAGACGTGGGCGGGGGGGACGAGCACGCCCATCCCCTGCCCGGTGCTGGGAGACCCTCACGTGGTCGGTCCACTGTGCTGGGGCGAGAGGCCCAGTTAGGGAGGAGGCGTGGGTCCCGACACAGCTGGTGGCTCTCCTGACGCGAGGGGGGAAGACAAGCCGAGTCTGTGAGCGTGTTTTCCCTTCAAGGGGGCTGGCGAGAGCGTGGGGGCCACGTGGGGCTGCCAGAGGGCACACCCGCAGTGTGCAGATGACCGCCTGCCCGGGGATGGGGGGCGCGGGGAGTGCGGGGAGAGCGGGCTGGGTTCCACCGGGCTCTCCTGGGGGCCTCGGAGTGGGATGGCGGGGAGGGGCCGGCCAGGGTGACCGAGTCCGTCGGGGACCCCGGAGGAGGCCGGGGGCCAGGTGGGGGGAGGCAGGCGGTGTCCCGGGGCCGCGGTCTCGGGGGGCAGGGGAGGTGGGCGGGCAGCGGCCCACGGGCCCGTGGCGGAGAGGCGGCAGCGGTGAGTCGGGCAAAGAGACGTGGCGGCGAGTGGGGACGGGAGAGGCCTGGGGGCGGAGCTCCGGGGCAGGACGGGACAGCCCGGGTCCCGCGGTCCCCAGAAGCTCAGGTCTGTGGGGGACGGCCCGGGAACCGGCGGCAGAGGCCGGAGGGGAGTCGGGTGGCAGAGTCACCTGCCGTAGACAGGCCGCCGGTCGAGGCCGGGACGGATCCACCGTGCGGGTCCCAGCCGTGGCAGGGTTCTCTTGGAGGGGTCTCGGCCCACTGCGCGGGGCGGGATGGACGGCAGGCGCGTCTGCGAGCGGCGGGGAGACCGGGGACGGAGCACGCGGGGAACGGAGGGGAAGGTGGTCTGTGGAGGGGGACCGGGCAGAGCAGGGGAGGGGGGCTGGGGCGCGGCGGGCTGGAGCCCGAGCAGGAAGGGGCCGCCCGGGCCCGGGGCGGGCGGGGGTGGCCCGAGGAGGTGCCAGAGGCCGTGGGCCCTGGGTGCGAGGACTTCAAGGTCGCCACCCAGAACTGCGTTGCCCACTGGGCTGCGGCTGTCGGCCCAGGTTTGGGCCCCTGGGAGCCACCTCTGCAGGTGGCGGTGTCCCTCCCGTGCAGCCCCGTCCTGCCGCCTGTCCAGCACTTCCTTGCCCTCTGGCACCGAGACAGGCCCTGGGTCTGCAGGGTGGGGGGGCAGCCACTCGTCACGGGGTTGGCCGGGTCCCTGCAGGGGGAGAGCGCCGCCAGAGGCCCGGGTCCGGCCCCGGGGGTCCCAGCGCCAGCGGGTGCTCGCCCGTGCTCGCCACGCCCGCAACTGCCTGGCCTCTTTGTCCGAATCTTCGGGGGGGTGCTCGCTGAGTTTTAAAGACTAAAAACCAAACCGAAAGGGGCGAATCCCCAGAAACGCAGAGTAAACGTGATGCCTCTTCCCCTTCCCCAGGTGGTTCCTGGAGACGCTGCAGTACCCCAAGTTCTCCAGGGCCAACGTGGTCAACGGCGTGCTCATGACGGCCGCCTTCTTCCTCGTCCGCATCGCCGCCATGCCGCCCATGTACGGCTTCATGTACTCGGTGGTGGGCACGGAGGCCTACGCACGGCTCGGCCCGCTTGCCCAGGCCACCTGGGCGGCCTCCTGCCTGGTGCTGGACGTGATGAACGTCATGTGGATGGTCAAGATTTCCAGGGGCTGCCTCAAGGTCCTCTCGCTCCTCCGCGACCAGAAGGCCAGCGGCTGCCTGCAGAACGGGAAGCTGGACTGAGGGCCCGGGCAGCGGCCCCGCCTGCCCGCCCGCCCGCCCGCACTGCACCTGCCGTGCAGGTGCCGCCTGCCGCCGCCTGGGCGTGTGCCCATCCCTCGCGGCGCCGGGGCCTCCGGGCCTCTTCCGTCAGCCTCGCCTGCAGAAAAGGGAAACCCAAACTCCGACTCCCGTCCCAGGGTGTGTCTTCCGATTCCCTCCTGCATCACGAGCTGGGCACACCCGAAAGGGCTCAATAAAGGGTGCTCGCCAGCCCAGCAGCCGGTGTCGGCGTCTCTCTCCGGAGGGGCGGGTGCCCGCGCGGCCGGCAGAGCAGCCCCGTCTGAGGTCGCAGCCGGGCCCCGGCACGGTGCCGTGCCGCGCTCCTTGCCTGCGATGGCTGCGCAGGGCTCAGTTTCTAAATTGCCAGAAAGTTCTTTCTCTGAGGCCGTTGCAGTGCTGCGTTTCTCATTCAGACACGCTGCCCACTGTTGGCGAGGAAGCCTCCCCCTCCCGCGGGCACGTTTGGTTAGTCAGGTCGGTCACGGAAAGCTCGGCCGGCGTGTTTGGGTTCCGCAGGCTTCACGGTGCTGCCGCTGTGTTCAGAATCCTGTCGAATGGTCACCTTTTACTCCACAGTCAGTGAGGTCGGGACAGGCCGTGAGGGTCCCCCCGCCCCCCCGGGCAGGTGACGTCCTCCTGGGGAAGTGCGCGCTCCAGAGGACCCCGGGGCTCGGGGGGGGCGCGCTGGGGAGGAGCCCTGACACTGGCCCTCGGCTTCCCCGGCGGTTCTCCTGTGAAAACCACGTCCTTCCTGCTCCTAGAGCGCGCCCTGAGCTCAGAGCCCAGCACCCTCGGCCCCAGAGTCCAACGTAACGAGTCCACCGTACTCCTAAGGCGGGCCTTGATGTGATGAGCCCAGCGTTACAAAAAACCCAGTAATTCATATTTTTTAGTCCGAGTTTACCCTCACGCTTGCTTTAGTTAGCACTTTGAAATTTCTGTGTGTCCTGAAGGACAGGAAAAACACCATCACTTAGCCCAGGTGTGCTGACCACCTAGGTTGCCGTCTCCTGCGCCGACCGGTGGCGGGGGACTTGGTTCCCGGCCTGCTGGCGTGTGTGCTCGCCGTGGTTCTGCCAGCCTGGAGGCAGAATCACAGCGTGAGGGCCTTCCTGTTTTCCTCGAGGACTTGACCTTAATGATGATGGTCCTTACCGAAGGAAAACAAATGTAGTTTAACCGGTGCTGAGTGCTTGAATTTAACTGAACTCAAACCAAAAGATCCCTTTACTTCCTCGCTTGGCCTCGTTTTCACGGTTCGGGTCGGGAAGGTGCAGGCTGGGCATTTCAAGACTTTTGATTTGATTCGATTCGATTCCATTCGATTTGATTGGGCTGCCCAGTGCAGATGGAGCCTAGAGCCCGCGGAAGTGTGAGAACTTTTAAAGAAGGCAGTGGGAACCTCCGCCAGTGGCCAAATGACAAAACGAGATTGATGGGCGTCTCCCAGGTACACTTATTTTTGAAAGACTTAATTAAAGTCATGTAAAAACATAGGTACCTGTTTTTAAGGCTACTGACACGACACAGCTAATTTGTTCCCAAGTTGGCTGCCTCCCACGGCCCAGCGCTTACCGGCGCGTGTGGGCGAGCACGGGGGGTGGGGGTGGGGGCGAGCAGAAGCGGCGGTTTTACCTCCTGTCCTGCTCTTTGGCAAGAAAACTGGCTTTCAGAAAGGGAGACATTTATGCTAGAAAACTATTTTGGAAATTAGTTCCTTTAGAGAGAAAGAGAACTCCGCAGAAGTGTCTTTGACTCCGAGTGTCTCTGTGGTTCCCGAGCACGGAGGTTCGGCCCGCCACCGCCCGGAGGCTGAGCGGGGCTCCTCGCGGCGGCTGTTTCGTGCGGGAAACGTCGTTTCTGCCCCCACAGCAGCCGCTCTGACTCGGCGGCCGCTCAGGAACCAGGCGTAGTGACGACGCGTGTCATTTCGGCGGGCTTCGAGACAGCCCGCCCAGCAGCCGCATTCGGCGCCCCAAGTGGGTTCCACGCGTGTCTCCAGCCACAGCCCCGCGGCGGGGGAGGCGCCGGCCCGCTGCTGCGCCGCGAGAGTCGGAGCTTCGCCGGGGCGGCGTGGCCGTCCGCACCTGCTGCCCGAGGCGGCCCTCGCGGTGACGGGCGCGGCCGGGCGTGCCGGTCCCCCAACGAGGAACTTTTCACACGCCGCGCGACAAACTTTTTGCTAGAATATTGCATATGAAGTATTTTGACTATGTGGGTTAATTTCAATGATTCTACTTGGCACTCTGATTTTAATGACTTGTGTTCAAATATTTATAGAAAATAAAAGCAAATTGGCATACATTTTTAAGCAACTCTATTTTTGGACAAAAAGATTAGTCACAACCTGTAACCATGAAGATGCTCTTCGAATGTGTCATCGTCTAGGAAACAACAATTCTGACAAAATCTTGAAAACGCATGCAGACCAACAAGACAGCATGCAACACCGTAGATTCTGCATTAGGCAGCTCGTTGTATTTGGGAGAACTTAAAAATTATGAGCCTGAGTTTCCAGGGGTTGCGCTCTTGTGTCTAACATATTTTTACGTAAGTATTTGTGTTCACCGACAACTCAGAATGGAGTTTGTGTCCGTGCAGAGACACCTCCAGCTCCCGCTTACACGGTGTCTGCAAACCCGCGGGAAGTGCGAATGCAGCGTTTCCTCCTCTGGTTCCCGGGTCGGCTCCGTCCCCCGGGGACTGGCCCCATGTTGTGCACGGTCCCCGGAGCTGGGTCGTTTGCCGGCGTGACCAGACCGCCTGGGCGCCGGTCACGCCGTTGGTTACCATGCGTTTGGGAACAGTGTTCCCTCTCACGGAGAAGCACGGGGGAGACGTGTGTTGGAACACCCGTGTTTGCTGGTCCCTTTCTGAGGGCCACGAGCACGCCCCCAAAGCCACGCTGACAGCAGGTGTTTGCCCGGGCCTCGGGGTCTGGGCCCCTCTGAACTCCAGATGTCCCTGCGCGTCGATGGGGGTGGCCTGCGCGCTGGAAGTCACCGGAAGGGCCATGTGCGGGTGTGACGCCCTCAGCCACGCCTCACGGGGGCCGCGTGTGGACGTGGTTTGGGTCCCGAAGCAGCACTCCGGGGGCCCGTCGGGACTGTGGCTCCCTGTGTCTGCATGGGGCGGCCCGCGGGGCAGGGACGCCCTCCCGTGTCCGAGGCCGTGGCCTGGACCTTGCCAGCCTTACCCACACCCGGCCCATGGCAGCCCGCGAAAGCTTCCGGGAGCAAGTCCCGGCAGGGGACCTGAGGCGGGGGACAAGGCAGCTGGGGGCCCCGGGACCGAGAGCCCCGCATCCCTCCCTCCATCTAGGGGTCACTCCCCCCAGCCCTCCTGCCCCCCACCCCACCTGCTCACGCCCCAACCACAGTGTCAGCGCCTCCCCGCCTGCTGGGCGCCGACGCCTTTCTGTGTCACCTTTTGAGGCCTCCCGCACCTGTAAGCTTCCTGGTCTCCTGATTTTTCATTGAAAAAAAAATTGCAGGAAGTTTAAGCGGCCATCAGACAACCTGTAGTTTATTAAGAGGCTGTGGGAAGCCATTTAGCATGAATGATGCTCGTTTCCAGCAGGAAGCAAAGCTAATAATGCCACGGTTTTATGGGGACACCGCCGTGGCTTCTCTCTCTTCTTGAACCGGTTTGGCCACACGAGCGTCACAACGTGCTTCCACGGGGGAGCCGCCGCCGTGGGTGCGTCATCACCCGGGTGGCCCTCCTGGGGCCCCGGGTCGCAGGGTGCACGCTGTGAGGGCGCGAGGAGGCCAGGCCGGTGGGCGGCGGCATGGGAGGGCCCCGCTGTTCGTCCAGCCTACTTCCGGGCACATTTCTCCTGAAAACGCCTTTGCCCGCAAATTCGGGGTTTCCGGGGTCCGACGCCCGGGGATTGGAGCCCAGGCCCCTCCTGGCCCAGCCCTCAAACTGCCTCCACCGGCCTCGATGGGGCCGTCCGCGCACCGGAGGGTGTATTGGACAGTGGTGAGGAGGGTGGGCGGGCAGGCGGGGGGCTGCTGCCGGGGACGGCGGGGTGCGGTGGGGAAGGTTTACCCCCGTGTCCCGGACGGAGCCGACAGGTGCCACGGCGGGCCCTGCACTGAAGACCCAAACCCACGGGGACTACTTGTGAATCTCGAAGATACAAACGCGATACCTCTGGCTGAAAGCTCACCCGTGTCACCTGCGCACTAACTTCTGTTATGTCTTTATGCAGTTCTGGAACTAAGTGTGCATTAAGGCGTTTGCTGTGTCTTGGTTAATGGAGCCTAAAAATACCACCAAATAAAATGTGCTACGTGCGTTCATTTCTTGCTCGGTCAGCTTCTAGTTTGGTACGTCTACTTTTTACTAACGGAATTTTTGCACAAAGACTCTTGCTAACTTGTAACCAGAATCCGTTATGAAATTTTGGGGCAATTATTAGGACTTGTCATAATTTCAGACATAGATTTCATTTGAAAAAGTTACTTGAAAACTGCAATCAATGCAATAGCTGGAGTGGTAGGTACACCTTTCCTCCTGAGACTGTATACTTTAATGTTTAATCATCATAAAGATGTTGGAAGTCTTTCAAAATAAATTTAACGTTTTTGAGACCGTGCCTTCTAATTTATTTCCAGAAGCCTGGAGAATTTTTGCTCTCTTTACAAAAATGTGAGCCTTGGTAATTTAGAAATTAGTGTTACTCAGACTTACTAGCAATTAAAACAACCGTTTGGTATTTATTTTGGTTTCTGGTTGTGCTTTATGTGGCAGGACGAACAGAGATCTTCAGGTAATTCCCTTAACACTTTGAAATGTGTGTGTGTGTGTTGGTGCCTGGGCCTCCTTGAAGCACATACAAGTTCAAAGCAAGGATCTGCGTGTTAGGCAAGGTCAGCATGACTGCGTCATGGCAATTTACGTTACTGTGCATCCTCAGGGCCTGCATAAAGTCAATGCCCTATATATAATCACCCCTCAGCCCAGCCACACTAATGCATTTTGTGAAAAAGATAAAGCAAAACCACAGTTACGTAGCTCGGAGGTCTGAGCCTGCCCGTGCACGCTCTGATAGTGATCAGTGAGCGACGGGCGACGGAAGTTGCTGTCCTCAGATCCCGTGGGCTGTCCTCACACCCGGATCCTGAAGTCGATGCGTGCCTCTCATGAGGCTCAGAGCCTGTGCGCCTGCATCCTCCGCCCCCACCCCCTGGCCCGTGGGGTTGGTGCCCTCCCGCCCCCGAGGCCCCAGCCCTGGACTGCAGGCCGGTGCCAGGCCCAGCAGCGCCCAGCGGCGCCAGAAAGGATGGTGCTGACTGACCAAGCGGCCCTCGGGGACCCAGGGGAACCCTGACGGCCCGGTCACCATCTCCTCCCGTCTGTGCCCCGGGCTCCACGGCGGCCTCTGCTGGTTCCTGCCCAGCGTCTGGGCTGCACTTCTGCCCTCGGGTTGCTGTGGTCTGGGTCCTGGTGCTGGTGTCGCAACCCGCCGCGGTGGGAAGGGGTGCAGCCACCAAAGGGCCCGGAGCAGGGCGCCCTCGGCAGAGTCAGGGCTGCGGGCCACAGTCGGGACCGGGCAGAGGGCTGAGTGCGCCCGGAGGAGGAATGGCGGGGCCTCGGCGCCGGAACACCAGGCCCCCCTCCCTGTCAGGCTCCGGGCACAGGGGACACGGCGAGAGGCCTCTCCCCTCCCCGTGCTCATGCACCCCACCCTTTTGGGGGGCCTGGCAGGCGCACACTGTTGGGGACACGGCAAACTGGCATTGCCGCCGGGTCTGGTCCAGCGACTGGTGGGCGGCCCGCGTTTAGGGCGCACGGGCCTCTGTCCTTCTGAGCCCCGGTGGCCACGCTGTCCTTCCCCGGCCGTCCGGTCATGTGACCAAGCCAGCGTGAGACTGCGTGCGCAGAGCTGGCGCAGTGGGGCCCTGGCCGGGCGGCGGGCGGCGTTCTCTCGCGCACGGGGCAGACGGTGCTGGGAGAGACGGGAATTTGGGAAGAATGACACGGAACAGCAAGGACCAGGGGCCTCGGGGAACGGGAAAAATGAGGTGAGAACACACGGTGTATGCATCACGTTGCATTTCGGGCGCGGCACCTGGAGTGCGACCCCTGTGCCCGGGGCACGAACGTTCGTCTGTTCTGCGCTGAAACTCAGTGTGTGCGTCGCCCAGCGGGCGCCCCTGCGTGTCCACGTCCGCGAGTGTCTGGGTGCGTGTGTGCAGGGCTGCGCGCCCGCTGCCCACCCGGGCCCTTCCTGGAGGCAGGACGGGGCGGCCGCCGGGTGGTAGCCGGGTCCTGCCCGGCGCCTGGGCCGTGGGACAGCGGCTCGGCCCGGGCCAGGGACCCCAAACTCGACCCTGCCGACCGTGGCGCTTCCGGGGGTGACGTGCGTGGCCCAGCAGGACCGCCACGCCGGCGTTGGGTGGAATGAGCCGTTTCTGGGGTCGCGTGAGCCGGGCGGGAAGGACGTGAGTGTGGTGTGTGGGTGCTGCGGGGACGGGCGGGCTGAGCCACCCGCGTCGGAAAGAGCCAGGCTCCTGGAGCCCCCGAGGACCGCCGGGAAGCGTTGCTGTCTCCGCGTGCCCAATTTCGTCTCTGTGAGATGATGCGTGAGGGTCTCCGAGGTTCCCCCTCTCCCACCCGCTCGTGAGAGTGTGGGTTTGGAACAGGCACAGGCCAGCAGGGAGGGTGAGGGGGGCCTGCGGCTTCGTCCCTGGTTGGAAGGACCTCCGCGGGGGTCAGCGTTTGGGGACCGCGAGGATGGCGCAGGCCGGGGACGGACACCGGGGCCAGCCCGGGTTCCAGTTCTGGCTGCGCCGCGGACCAGTGACCCGCCCGGGCCAGCGCTGTCCCTCTGCTGGCCCCTGTCCCTCTGAGAAGCGGGTGAGTGGACGGCCCTTTCCTTCCAAGTCCCAGCATCCTATGGTCCCGGCAGTTCGAATCCAGCCCTGAATTCCTGCCAGACGCAACTCTGGAGCCCGGGTTTTGTGCCCTGGCTGGGTGGCACAGTGGGTTAGAGCGTCGTCCAGAGGCACCAAGGTTGAGGGTTCGATCCCCGGCCAGGGCACGTGCAGGAATCAACCCATGAGTGCCGGAGTAATCGGAGCAACAAATCAGGGTCTCTCCCTCCCCTCCCCCTTCCACTCCCTCCCTCCCTCCGTCTCTCTGCAGCCAACACACGGAGCGCTGGTGGCAGCCGTGCGAGTGTTCGGAGGCGGCTGGAGCTGTGTGACTCCGACTGGGGCCCCGTGCCCTTGGATAAGGCCCTTGCTTCTGTCTCCCTCTGCAAGGGGAGATGCTATCTCTCGCAGACCAAGAGCCTCGCCAAAAAGGGCGGGCTGCCTCCACGTTGTTAGGGGAGAGCGATAAGGTTTAATGAGGTACTTTCCCACCACACTGGAGGCCAAGTGGATTTTTGAAATACTCTGCCGGGTGTTAACCTTTGGAAGATGTAAACAGCCAGACATGGAACCCGTTTGCTTTTTTCCCCTTTTCTTTCCTTCTTTCTTTCTTTCTTTTCTTTCTTTCTTTCTTTCTTTCTTTCTTTCTTTCTTTCTTTCTTTCTTTCTTTCTTTCTTTCCTTTCTTTCTTTCTTTCTCTTTCTTTCTTTCTTCTTCCTTTCCTTTCTTTCTTTCTCTTTCTTCCTTCTTTCTTTCTTTCTTTCTTTCTTTCTCTCTTTCTTCTTTCTTTTCTTCCTTCCCTCCTTCCCTTCCCTTCCCTTCCCTCTCTCCCTTTCTCTCTCTCTCTCCCTCCCTCATTCCCTCCCTCTCTCTCTTTCTCTTCTTTTCCTTCCTTCCTTCCTTCCTTCCTTCCTTCCTTCCTCCTTCCTCCTCCCTCCCTCCCTCCCTCCTTCCTTCCCTTCTCTCTCTCTGATCCTGAGAGCACATTTACTAACGCCGGGCACACTGAGAAACCAGGAGTTAGGGCAGAAGCAGCCGCAGGACAGCACCTAGGCGGGCCTGCTTGGTTCTCTAGAAACGTTATAGGAAGGGGGTGAGCCTGACGTAGGCTCTTAAAGTTAAAGAGTTTTTTAAATGTGAATTGTATTTTCACCACAGAAGGAGAGCCTGCCTATTGTAACGAAAGAGCCAGAAATGTGATCGATGATCTGGCCACACAAAAACGGCCGTGGTTCAGTTTTCAATGTTTCCTTGTTGCAACTTTTTCTGTGCATTTTTCTGGCCCCCGCCCAAGCTGTGAAGACAGTCGCGGTTTAGGACTGGCATCTCTCGGCAGCTCAGAGACAGTCGGCGGGCTGGGGCAGCGCCGGTGACGGGCCCCGGTGCGGGGACCGCCGGGCAGCTTCATTTCTGCGACGAGAGGGGTGTTAACGGGGGCCCCAGGGCCCAGCCGCTGCCTCTCCCACTTCAGGACGCCACGCCTGTGATCGTCCGCACTTTCCCGCCAGGTGTGGCCCTGGGCCTAGACCTGGACAGAGCCCCCTGCCCGCAGCCCGGAGCGGCCCGTCGGCCCCTGCACCCCCGGGGGAGTCAGCCAGCTGGCCGGAGCAGCGTCTCGCTGGGGCCGGTCCCAGCGGCAAACGTCCTCAGGCTCCGAGGGACGGCGGCGGTCTGCTCTCCGTCGAGAACGACGCCCCGGGAGAGCCATGCCTGCCGTGTCTGGCTGGCAGTGGACAGCGTCTCCACGTCTGACGTGTAAAATCGTGGGAAACACGTGCCTCTGAGAACCGACCTGCGAACGGTGGAGGGGAGGGCCCTCATCAGGGCCCTCGCTTAGAAAACCAGCCATAACCCTGGCTGGTGCAGCTCAGTGGATTGAGCGCGGGCTGCGAACCAAAGTGTTGCAGGTTCGATTCCCAGTCAGCGTACATGCCTGGGTTGCAGGCCACGGCCCCCAGCAACCGCACATGGATGTTTCTCTCTCTCTCTCTTTCTCCCTCCCTTCCCTCTCTAAAAATACATAATAAAATCTTTAAAAAAACCAGCCATAAAATTAGCACAGTGAGCCCGTTCAGTGCGGCAAACATACTTGAACAGCTGCTCTCGGGTCTGCGTACGACGAGGGGCACTCACACCAGCCGCATCCTCCTCTTCTCTCTTTGCACCGACGGACAGCGGCAGGCCGAGCTTCCAGCTGCTCACAGCTCGCCTCCCGAAGGTGGGCGGTTTCTCCGGTTCTGTTAACGTCCCCCCACAGGGGCCAGTCGGTGCCGTTGACGGCCCTAGAAACCTGCAGCTCCTTCTCGCCGCCGTGCGTGGTCACCACACAAACATCCCGCAGGAGCGAGGCCAGCGGAGCTCAGATTCCAGTTTCCGAGCTGAGGGCGCACTCAGCTCAAGTTCAGAGAGAGAAGGAGGCGCATGGAGTTGCGACGAACATACTAACCTGCCTTCCCCGACTCTCCTTCAGAAACCCGGCGAGGCGCACCGGGCGTCACACACAGGCCCGGGTCCTGATGGTCCGTCCAGCAGCGTCGGCTCCTGTGACCACCACGCCAGCCGGGAGAAAGAGTGTTTCTCCGTGACCGAAAGTCCCCAGCCCCCTGACCCCCCGCCCCCCCCCCGAAACTGCCCCTGCCCTCTTCCACACAGTCTGGTCTTTCCGTTTAAGTCGCAAGGCCCCAACACATTGACTTGTCAGAAAAACGAGAGAAAAAGGAAAGAGACACTTTTAAGTGATCATGAATCACATGGTCACACAGAGAAATCTAAGTCTCCTAACTTCTTCATTTTAATCGCTGCGGCTACATTGATACATATCTCTGCTCTTCCTCCAGGCGACTTTGTCGTTTTTTTAAACGATTCACATTGACCTGAATAGTAAGCACAACGTAATACCCCGGCCACACATTCCGGCGGAAGCGTGGCAGATGGCTAACCAGGCCGGGCCAGGCCCCGAGTCGGGTCCCGTTTCAGCTTGGGGCGTCAGCACCGCGGGGACCGGCCTCCACACCCCTCGCCGACAGACCGTGTGGGGGTCAGCTGTCACAATTTAAAGTCCGGTTTTCTCTGTGCGTAGGAGAGTGAGTGGAGTGGCAGTAGTGGGCGACTATAGCTCCAACCTGAGAAGTCCCTGTAAAGGTGACGACCGTATACACTATGCGGCACCTGATTGTGACATTAGTCATTACACGTTGGTATATCACAGCCCTTGGGCTCTCCTGATGAAACCGTGGGAGCGATCTCATACTCCCTTTGCTCGTTCACCCTTGCCTTCGTCAGTGTGAGTGTGTTGCAGGTGGCACGCTGGTTGCTCCATCCCGATGTGTGCCAACACGCTCTGGGGCAACCGGCCGGCGGGAACCGGGGGAAAGGGAACACAGGCGGCCACCGCCGGAACCGCGCCCTCTCGCGGTCTGAGTTCTCTCTCCCCCGTGCAGACCGAAGACCGGGGCCTCTGGGGTGCGGGGGGCGCGGCTCTCACCTCTGGGCCCCGCACTCAGCCCCCAGAGCCGCACCGCGGCCAGCACACCACGGTCAGCACAGGAACCCTCCAGGCGAGACCTGCCGCCGGCTCCTTGGAGTTCGGGTTCACTGAGCGAGCCGGCATTCAGGGCCTCTCCTGTTCTCTGTTCTCAGAGGAGCTTCAAGGCGCTTTTACCTCCCTCGTGGTCTTTACGTGATGATCGTCCCCACGAGGCCCCGCTCAGCTCAGCATTAGGCTTCCCGGCTCTTCCCGGCAGGCCGCACGTCACCCTCCCGACACGCGTACAGCCGTGTGTTCTCGACGCTTCGCTCGGGGTGGGGGGTTGGGCCTCAGATTTCAGAACAGGGTTGAGAGTTTAATTCTACACCCTACCCCCGATCAAGCGAGTAGAAGCGTGAAAACAGCTGTCTTCTGGACCAAGCGCTTGCAACCGCAGGTGAGAGATTTAAACATGTCTCCTCCTCAGGGTCTCGGGGACGCGCCCGTTCAGAAAGGCCGTGTGTGTATGTAACACCGTTCCAGTGAACCACACAGGTGCCGGTGGGAAGTGGTGTGGCCGGGGTGGGGAAGAGACCGAGAGAGAGCCTGCTCCATGCAGAACTCACTCACATGTTTAGACACCCGTCCTACATTTAAACACGGAGGGTTTCCGGTCGCCCGTGAATACAAGAAAGTACATCATGCAAAGCTGGGCTTTCCGTGTTTGACACGTGGCTGCCACTTGCACAGCAGGAGGCTGCCCCTCTGCGGGTGGGCCGTGCAGCGGCCGCACGGGCCCGCCTCCCCACGCCGGGGCGCAGAGCCCCGGCCGGGGACTTGGGGGCCCTGGGCTCGTGCCGCCTGAAAAGACGCGTCTTTTCCTTGAACGTGCCACGTGGAGTGCGAGGAGCAGGGGAGGAAACCCGCGGGGACAGGGAGAGCGAGGACGTGGCCGCTGACGGAGAGCATGAGACGGGGGTGTGCCTGGGTCCGGTGCTCGGGCACCCCGCTGCCAGCCGGCTCCTCGGCTTCGCGGCAGCCTCGCTCTCCTGCTGCCGCTCGTCCACGCCCACCTTGTCGACCGAGTTGGGGAGATTGCAAGCAAGGCATGAACAACCTGATTTTTTACAGGCTGCATTTCATAAATCAGTCAAGTGACTAAATCTGCATTTTCCTACCATTTTAGGACTAACATTGGGCTTCAAACTCAGGCGAAAGAACCTGGTGCTGTTTTAAATAGAAAGTGCGTTCTCGTGTTCACCAAACTCTTCAGCAGCCAGTTAGGGGCCTCTCTGCTGCTGTTTTGGAAACAGCGCAGAGGAGTTGCAGTGATGCCTGCCGTTGAACAAGCGGCCCGCAGCAGAGACCACGGAGCTGAAACAGGGCTGCGTCGTCCGGGTCGCGAGCAGAGGGGCGCTCTCGCGAACTCGGGGTCCCTGACCTCCCCGGGTCCTCCGAGGGCCTTCCTCCTGCAGCCTAGCTGGCCAGACGCCCTTCTGTTCCCAGAAGCTGATGTTATCTCGCGTTTAAAATCCCTCTTTCGCCACACAGGGAGCTGACTCAGTCCCACAGCCCGCCCCGTGGGTCTGACTTCTGCGGGTCAGTGACAGGAGCCCTGGCAGCCTTCCCAGTCCCCCCTTGTCACCCAGAATGTTCTCTCTCTGTCTCTCTTCCCGTCTCTGTCTCTCTCGGGGGAGGGCGGGAGAACGAGAGGGAGAGGAACATCGGTCGGGTGCCTCTCCCACGTGCGTGCCGGACCGAGGTGTTGAACCCTGGAAACCCAGGTGGGTGCCCGATGGGGACTCCAACCTGCGCCCTTTGGGTTTTCTGGGAGATGCCCAACCCACCGAGGCCCAGCCCTTGGGGCTCAAACTGTTATTTCTGATGCAAACAAAAACTGTGCCCCCCCCCCACCCCGGACCAGGCCACCTACTTTTAGGGGGAGGGGGGCTGCAAAACTCTCAATGTGCTACTACAAAATTTTAAAAAAAGTTTGAAACAACAAAAGTTTCTGGCCAAGCCCAACAGGCTGGCGGACAGAGGTGCGGCAGAGGACTGCTGCGACCTGGCTCAGGAGGCCCAAGCCGAACCAGGTGGACGGATACTCGTCACCCTGTCACTGTCGCTCACACCCTTCACCTTTACTGCTGGGTTCAAGGACCATCATCTCACTGATGAAGCGCCGAGAGTCCCACTGTCTTGCGTGTACCGAATTTCACAAATTAAACAATATTTAAGAGCTAGCGTCTGCTGAGTTTACCCACTTGATGGTGCCCCCCCAGCCCCCAGTCAGCAGGGCTGTCCCCCGGGGAAGGCAGGGGACAAATGCGCACCTTGGCGCAAAACTGCCTGTAAGGTCCCGGCCACTGCCGTGACATCCTGAGATGCCAGGCCCGGCAGGTCCAACCTCCCCTCTGGCACTGGATAAGGGGCAGGGGCCCTGGGCAGGGGCTGCCCCAGGTCCGGCTCAGCCTCCGGGGTGGTGCGTGCCCGGCGGCCTGGGTCACGAGGAGCGCCCCGTCTGCTCAGCTGTGAGCCCGACCAGGGCCCACCGCCTGCTCTAGTCACTTCCCCACTTGCTTTTCTTCCTAACCCAGGTGGGTCCCTTCGCCCAGGGGCTGGCGCGTGTTCAAGGTCAGGGCTCAGAGTGGGGAGGCTGTGCTGTGGGGCCGCCCTCCCGCAGGACAGCCACGGGCGCGACGCTGCCCCGCGTCACCAGGCCACGGGACGTCTGGCCCCCAGGGAAGTCCCCGGAGACGCAGCCTCCCTGGGGAGCTGGGAAGCAGAAGCTCGGACTGACCTCCCGGCCCCTCCGCCCCGCCCGGCCCAGCCGGCCCTGCGCTGCGGAGACTCGGGCTCCCCCCGGTGGCCAAGCGGCGGCGGTGCGGGGGCGGGGCCGGCGGCGGAAGGGGCGGTGCGGAGCCGGGGGAGGGGGTCTCGCTGATGGCGGAGCCGGTGGAGGAGGAGCTGGGGGCGCTGGCTGCTATCTTCTGCGGGCCCGGCGAGTGGGAGGTGCTCAGCCGCTCAGGTGACCGCCCGCCACGTGCCGTGCCGGGGGACCCGCTAGGGACGAGGGAGTGACGCGCTCCGGAGGCCGGAGCCACGTGGGGGCAGGCGGGAGCGGGGGACCGTCCCCTAAGTCTGACCAGTGCCACGCCCCTGGGCGCGCTGCTGCCGGGAGCCGGGAACCTGAGACCCAGGCTCGGGCGCCCCCGTCTGGCGGGTCCGTGCCTCCCCTCCCGCCTTCCCCCGTGCCCGCCGGCTGCCCACGCGCCCACCTTGTGGCCCACGCCCGTCCTGTCCCCCACACTCGCGGAGCGCCCGGCCCTGGAGCGCGCCCCCCTGCGCTGTCCTGGCCGCCCCGGTACTGCCCCCCTGCGCTGTCCTGGCCGCCCCGTCCTCGTTCTTGAGCTCTCACCGCGAACGGGGGCCTCTCCGGACCCCCTAGCCTGAACCGGCTTCCCCAGATTGCGATACCGGCGGTCCTGTGGGCTCCACGCGTTCCGGCCTCTCTCAGGTGCTGGTGGTCTCAGGTAGCTGGAGGGCAGGGCCCGCTTTGCGGTCACAAAACTCCGGGTCCCAAGGACAGTGCCAGGCGCGCGGTAGGTGGTCAGAGAATGCCCAAGTTTTGAATTCGCACAGCGCTCAGTCTGAACCGTTTCTCGGTTATGTTTCCGAGTTGGTTGTTTCTCCTAATGCTCTTTCGAGGCCCCAGAAAGTGTCCGTTAGAGGCTCCTGGGGGCGCGTGAATTGTTGCGCGCACATTTTTATTCCCTGCGAACATAATGCAGTCTCTCCAAGGCTGTTTTCGGTGAGCCCTAAAACTCACTCTGCCCGGCCTGTGGCTTCTGTTAGGTGAAAGCCCCAACTGCAGTTTATGGAAAAGGGCAGTGGTGCCGACAACTGTGCATCTTTGCTGGGCTTTCGGCTACAGTGTGGGAATTTTTCGGCAAGGGAGTTAGTCGGCTCTTCCCTGTCCGCCGGCTCCTGTTAAAGTTGGCTTTCTGACCACAGACCGGCTGACCGTCCCAAAGGCCGCGGACAACGTGCTGGGTGTTGCGAGGAGGCCGTGGCGGACCAGACAGTCAGTTTCCTGTCTCGGGTGCAGGTGCAGGTCCCTCTCCCCGACGGCTCCTCCGGTCCCCCCGGTCCCCCCTCTACGCGGGTCCCTGGAGCTCTGCTCTGTGCCAGGTACCACTGCGACGCTGTGGCCCAGGTAGTGCTTTCGTTTCAGAGCCTCCCCTGTCCTGTATCTTTCTCTCGCGGGCGTGTGAAATCCACATGGAAGGGTCTGTCACTGCCCTTCCGATCGGGTGGCATCCCTAGGTCATTGCCTCAGTTGGTCTCACTGGTAATTACTAATACTCGGGCCGAGCCAGTCCCTTTGCAGAGGTCATCGGACCCCCGAATCCCTTTGTTGTGGCTCGGGTGGGCGCACCCTGGGAGACGCAGCTGTGGTCCCCCGAGAGAGGCCGAGGGGCTGGGGCCGGGGCCGGGCTCCGCCACTGAGCTTCAGCCAAGGACGAGGACCGGGGGCAGCAAACCCAAAAACTGAGTGTGGGGAGGGAGCTGCTCCTTCATATCCAGAAAGCTGTGGATATTTTATCTGCTGTTTAATTAAGCATGACTTTCAAGCCGTGCCTCCTAATTAATTTAATTCGATGTTCTGGCATCAATAAGTAATTGAATTATAAAGGAATGCAGTGTAACAGCTTAGGACGTTTTGTTGCTGAGAGGCTCACTGGAGAATGGAGCGGTTCTGGGACCGAGGAGGGGCCGTGTGCTGGTCGCGGCCGGGTGTCAGGGCTCGCCAGGGCTGCTTTGCCAGACCCCGGCAGACCCGCGTGGGGCTGCTGGCCGCCTCGGGCACGGGCGCTGGCCGCTGGGCTCGGAGGATGCAAGCTGGCCTCCTCCAGATAGGCGTCTCCTGCTGCCACTGGCACCAGGGGAACCTGGGGCGATGGCACCTGTGGGCCGAGGCTCCCACCCAGGGTCGACTGTGAAGGTCGTGCGACCAGAGAGGCCGAGTCACCGGGGTCAGTGTAGCTGGGCCAGTGAGCGCCCAGGACTTCTGTACATTTCGGCCTCTTTACGATGGTAGCCGTCTCTCAGGGCTCCACGTTGTGGGAGCCCCCGCTGCACCAGGCCGTCTGTGGGCAGGCCGGGCCGGGGTCTCTGCGCTTCCTGTGCAGCATGGCCGGGCCAGGGGCTGGGTGTCACGCGGTCACCTACTGGGCGCCTGACACTGGAAATGCACACACTTGGCGAGGGCTCCTTAGCTTCATTCTCCAGAGAAGGGAACAGGTGCTGAGGCCGGAGAGGCGGCCGCCAGGCTCCAGGGTGTGGGGACCCTCGCACTGAGTCGTGCTCCCGAAGAGACGGGGCGGGGAGAGCAAGCGTGAGCGCCTGGGAGAGGCGTGGGCGCAGCCCCCCGACATGCGTGTGTGCACGCACCTGTGAGACGGGTGAGACTGGCGTTGTTAGGAAGCTTCTGTCCCGGTGATGTTGCAGGGCGTGGTGGAGATTCCATGGCCAGAGTCGGCGCTCACGGTGCGTGCGGTTGCATTTCTGGAAACAAGTTCACGGAAGGGAAAGCTGTGACTCCCAATCAAACAGGCAAAACACGTGGTTGTACGAAAAATTCTGGGGTGAAAAGAAGGCAGTTTACTTGCATTGCAGACTGAGGCAGATGAGAAACGGAAGGGTAACGCACACACTGAGAGTTTTAGGGAGAAAATGAGTTTTTAAAGGAATATGCACATTTATTACCACACGGAATAGCAGCAGCAGCATGGGCTGTGCTGTTGGGCTTCTCACTGTCTTACAGAGAGAGCACTGGTTTGTGTCCTTGCAGTTTGCAGCCTGGGGGGCGGGGGGTGCGCGGAGCAGCAGCCGGATGGTGTCCTGTGAGGTCCTCAGACGTGGGGGACGTTCGTCCCCGTGCGCGTGGCTGACGCCGTGGGGCGGCGGTCCAGGGGGGACGAGGCGCGAGCAGTGGCTGCCTCTGGGAGGGAGGGGGAACTGGGGCGAGTGGGGAGGGCCGTCGGGGAGCAGCCGGGAGGCAGGTCAGCATTCCCGTGGGCCCTCTGCACCGTCCTGTGCCTCTGCGGGCTCGCGTGGGTTTATCAGGGGCTTCCAGAACCATCTTCTTTCTGGTCACCTGATGAAAACGGGGGAAGGGCCAGCTGAAGGCCCGCGGAGCCCCCCGGGCTGGTGGCCCGGTGCAGGAACCCGTGTGTAGGTCCAGGGAAGTGACCCGTGAACCGGGGCTTCCTCACTGGTGGGTGTCCCTCCAAACTCAGCTCGGTTTTCACGCGACCAGTTAGTCGACACGGGAACCAAAAGTTTCCGCTGGCTGGGGCTGGACTCCGGTGGAGCGAGCGAGTGATGTGCGGCTCACGGCTGGTTTTGGTTGTCTTCCAGAGACCGACGGCGCCGTGCTCAGGATTCTCACGGAAGCCGAGGGGCCGGCGGAGGACGCGGCCGTGCCCCTGGAGTTGGTGTTCCACCTACCGGCCGGCTACCCCTTGTGCGCGCCCGGCGTCTCCGTCGGCTCCGAGCGCCTGACCCGGGCCCAGCGCGCGGCCGTGAGGGAGCAGCTGCTGGAGCGCGCGCGGAGCCTCCCCGCGGAGCCGATGGTGCACCAGCTGGTGCTGTGGGCGCAGCAGCACCTCGGGCGCATCCTCGCCCAGACGGGCGCTGGCGCTGGCCCCGGCCCCGGCCCCGGCCCGTGTCCTTCCGCCGGGAGCGCGTGTCCTTCCGCCGAGAGCGCGACGGGGGACGAGGGGCTGTGGATGGCTCTTCTGCGCCTGGACCACATGCGAGCGAGGGCCAGATACGTGAAGGCCGTGCGGCAGTGGGCGGCCGACCTGGGGCTGACCGGGAGGCTCATGTTCCTGGGCAGGGTCATCCTGCTGCTCCTGCAGGGCCGCAGGGGCGACATCAAGGTGCCAGCATGCTCGGTGTCGCCGGTGCCTCTGACCGCTCGCGAGTCTCTCTAGCCCCTAGTGACGGCTGCAGACCTGAAAACCTTGAAGACCCGGTAGAAGGTCGTGTTTTAAAAGCCACGCCCCACTTGCTGTGGGTGAGAGGTCATAGAAACCTCTGTGGTCTAGGAGTGTGTGTTTCTGGAAGGAGGTTTGTCCCTGGGGGAGGCCCAGGAAGGGCTGTCCGTGCGGGCAGCCTGCAGAAGTGTTACTCCGTGGCGGTGAGAGGTGCGGTCTGATACGTCCGTTCACCGCCTGCCACGCTGGGAGGAGGGGCCAGCCCTCCCAGCTGCCCCGCAGTGTGAGCGTGGGGCGGTGCTGCTCCCTCCCAGGTCCGCTTGCCACCTGACCGGTCTCAGCCACCGCTTCCCGGTCATCGTCTCCCGATGTCTCGGGCTCCGGCCCTGGCGCCCCTCACCTGTCTCAGGTGGGACCAGACGAGGGAAGAGCTTGTTAAACCTTAGATCTTAAAAGAGCCACACGCCACCCACTAAACGTTATGCCTTCAGATGGGAAGGGTCAAGAATCGTGACAACTGAGTTTGTTTGAAGCAGGCTGAGCTTGCACAGGCCGCCTCTTCAAGATCCCGTGGGGCAGCCCCCGAGCTCGTTCAGGAAGGGGCTCTCCCCACGAGGCGTGGCTGGCGCCTGGCCGGGCGGACAGGGCCCACGGCAGCGGGTGCCCGCAAGGAGGAGTTCGGGCTCAGCAGGGTCCTGGCTCGGGCTCTGACCTGGGAACCGTGTACTTCAAGGTGGCTTGTAGTGTCATCTCTAAACCGTGATCCTTTCGAGTGAGGTGACCGTCTGGGAAAACGAATGCAGCGTCCTCTTCTTGCTCCCCCCCCCCGCAGGTTCCGATGTTCAGTCAGGTCAGCGCAGTGGGGCTGCTCCGCGGGCATCGCGCACCCGGCCACACCTTGGCCGAGGCGGAGAGACTGCCCTTGTCGGGGACGGCTTTCTTTTTGATCAGCCGTCCCTAAAATACCACTGCATGTGAACAGTTCTGCTACATTTTTGTAGGGTCGCAGGTGAGGGCGGAGAGGCACAGGGGCCCGTGTCCGGGCACCGTCCATTCAGAAAGGCAGGCGCTGCGCACCTGCGAGCGCCATTCCCACCAGGGAATGTGACAGTGACAGTGACGGGCCGGCGCCAGCAGCGCTCTGCGTGCGTCTGCGCACTGTGTCTGCGCACTGTGTCTGCGCACTGCGTCCTGCGCGTCTCGCACAGGTGCGCAGCAGCTTTCCGAGGCGCGGAGGGCCAGGCGAGCGGCCCCGGGGCGGAGCTGGGGGGCTGCCCGTCCAGGGTTAAGCCTGAGTCGGCAGACGGCACCACCCTTCCCTCGCACGTTCCCGGTGCGTCCCGCCACCCAAGCGGAGGCTCAGCCTGCAGGCGCGCGGCTCCTTGAAAAGTAGGCCCTGCGAGCCCTTAACGCCCTGCCCTGTCGTTTAGGAGTACCTGGTGCTGCAGAAAACCTGCCGAGTGGACGTGGACGCGAGTGGGAAGAAGTGCCGAGAGAAAATGCTCAGCGTGCTGTTCGAGAGCCAGATGCAGCCGGAACACACGAGGTATCGCTGCGCTGCGCGCAGGCGCGGGGTGGCCAGTCGGTGGTGATGCTCAGTGAGCCCCCCTGATCCGCGCGTCTGTCTCTTCTGTGCGCGCAGGTTCCCGGCGTTCGAGGTCAGGGAGTACGCGGGCGCGGACGAGCTGCGGGGGGAGTTCGAGGCCGCCGGCCTCCAGGGGCTGTTCGCCGCGGTGGTGCTCGGGCTGCTGAAGTGAAGCGGAGGACGGCGCGTCCGGAAAAACAGCACTGCCCTCGTTCGCTGCTGTTCGGGTGGACTTGGGGCTGGAAGGCTGCAGTCACTCATAAGGGGTGGTTTTGAAGTTTTCGTGAGGCCAGGTGGTAGATACCGTCCTGGTTTCAGGAACAAACGCCGATTCTGTTGGTGGAATCTCAGACAAGCCCCCGGGGGTCCTGATTTGGGCAGCGAAGGCTGCGGGTTTGGTGGGCGGAACGGTCTGCAGAGGTAAGAACAGGACGGTGGGAACCAGCCCTCGCGCGATCTCTTCTCGGGTTTGTTCCGAACTGGGCGATTTTCCGGCTCATTTGTTTGTTTATAATAAAATGATTTTTTAAAAGAGATTTGTTTCCATGATTACATTTTTCATGCCTACACTTTTAGTGTCTCATCGTGATTTTCCCTGTTTGTGTTATTAGGTCTGATGTTTTACGTTGAATGTGAAGAAAAAAAACAGATTTCCTGTAGAAATGCACAAATCTTAGATTAAACACCAGCCAGAGAAGTTCTGTGGGGTCTGCTTTTCAGTTGCTTCCTTTGGGGGCCCTGCGTGGCACCATGCTTGCTAACTCACCGTAGGACCAGAGAGGCACTGGAAGAAAGCCTTTTTGGAAAAGTGTACCTTCTGGTTTTGGACGAGGGGCCCTGCTTTCCGCAGAGCGCACGTGGCTTGCTGGATGCGGGGGATGCTAGAGAGACACTCCTTTTGGTGAACTAGGTTCAAGGGCGATCACCGTAAATTCCACTGACGACGGCCTGTGGGCGGAGACGCCGCGGAGATCCAGGCGCGCGCTGGCCCCCGCCACGGTGTCAGCGGCCACTGAGGTCTGGGAGCCGGCGGAGCCCTGAGCGCGGGGAGGCCACCGCGGGCTTCCGGATGCAGGGCTTGGCGCCGCAGAAGGGCCACGCGGATCGCCCGCCGCAGTCCGCAGTCCGGGACGCCCCATGGTGTCCCGTGCACGGGGAACGGATCGGGGAGACAGGCGGCGAAACCCGCGTCGCCGGGGCCGCGCTCCCAGGCAGTGCTCCGCGGGGGCGTGGCGGTCTGTGGGGCTGTCCCCCTCTCAGCCCTCGTCATAAAGGCGTGCCCGCCTGCTGACCAGTGTCCGGGGGTCTGCTCACGGGAGGGGGTTCAGCTTGTGTATTGTCATCCCAGGGCCTGTGTGACTGTCCCCGGAGAATGAGTGAGATCGGTGGACAGGCTGATCAGAACAGAGGCTCGAAAATGAAGGTCTCGTTGTCGCCCCGTTGTTTGATTCACTGAAGTTTTGGGGAAGGCGGCAGTGACAAAGAATAGGGTTGGGAAGGGTGGGGGGGTGGTCGCCATCCGGGCTGTAAGCGGGGCCGGAGCGGGAGACGGGGTCTCGATGTCGTCCCCGGAACTGCCCCTTGTCTGCCGGCCTCGCCTCTCTCTGCTCGGGGGTCACCACGCCGTGCATCTGTCCCCTCGGAGTTTCACCTCCACGCTGGACCCTCTGCCCCCAGGGAGCAGCTCGAATCGGGTCAAATCGAGTGCTAGAGATGACACCCTCCCCCATACTTACATTTCTGCCCGCTGGAATCGTGTTTAAAACACGATTGATTATCGCCACTTTCTCGGAGGTTGACATCTGTCCTCACAAATGTGAGCACAGACACCTCCGGAAGCACAGTTAGACCTCAGCAGGGCTCGGTTTAAATTTAGTTTGACCTCTGGGTGAAAGAAGTTTATGGTTGGATGCCAAGAGGCCGAGTCTCTTTGGTCTCTCTGTAATTCTCGTATTAGAGGAGGAGAATCTTAATAGTTTCCGTGGGTATTTTTGCCTCAAACCTGGTGCTTTCCTTCGACCTTGAGGTCCTCGGCAAAGCGAGTTGGGACTCCGCCTCAGCAGTGGCCGGCCGACCTGCCACTGCCCTGGACACGGCACCTCGAACCGCCCCCCTGGCAGTCCCGGCCGCCGGGGAGACCCTGGGAGTCTCCAGGCCGTGCACCTGCAACAGGGCAGGAGTCCTGAGCTCCTGCCGGTGGCGGAGATTTCCCCTCGCCTTTGCCTGGCGGAGGGAGGGGTATGCATTCCCAGTTTCGCTCCTTGCCTCGCGATGAACGCTCCCCGAGTGAAGACGGGCAGTGGGTGGCGCGGAGGAGCTGGTCTGTCGGCAGGCGCCGCGAGCACAGTTCTGTGGCCGAGGGCGGGGACGCGTCTGAAGTGCGCAGATTAAAGCGGGAGCGGTTTCCTCCTGTCGTGAGGCAGGGGCAACACGTCTAAAGACGGCAGAACCGCCAACGGCGTGCAAAAACGATCAAGAAGTGAAGAGAGTGGAGGAACGGACTCTTGATGACTGATTGGTTTGCCATTTCAGCTCAAATAAAGCCTCAGTGTGCTTCCCGGCATTCCCCTCCGAGCAATCTAGAGCGTATGTTTTGATTTCTTCGGTCGCTTTGGGTCACCCCAGGTCATGTTGCGGCGCTCCATCCGCCCCCCCCCGTGTGCGTCGGGGCTCCCCAGGGAGGCGGCCCACAGCACGCCGTGCGCAGGGTCTGCCGGAAGCGGTGCCTGCTGGAGGCCCGGGGGGCCGGGCATGCGAGTCCCTCGCAGGAGATGGCAGCGATGGGAAGGTTTCACCTAAAACGTTGTGTGGTGTGCTGGCATGTGATGCTGTCACGTTACGGAATTACCTGCTTACGAGTTTATAATAAAGGGCGCTATGTGTGCCGGACCCCGTATTTGTTTATCGTAAGGAGCTGGCTTCAGTGACGGTGGGGGCTGGCAGATAAATCCCAGGCTCTCGGAGGCCCAGGAGGCTGAAGGGGGGGTGGGGAGGGCGGAGGTGGCGGCAGCTGGGGTCTGCAGGCCGTCCGCGGGCCGAATGCCTGTTCTCAGGGAGGTCAGCCTCTGGCTCTCTCCATGCCTTCACCTGACTGGGCGAGGCCCACCCTCTCAGGGAGGGCAATCTGCTTCCCTTGAAGGTGGCTGCTTTATTAATTTATTTTCCACATTTAAAAAAAATTGTTGTTTGAGTACGGTCGTCTCCGTTTCCCCCACACCACGCCTGCACCCCAGCCGTCCCCACGAAGTCGGCTGGTTTAGACGTGGACGCCCTCCAGACCACGTGCTGGGGCCGACTGGTGAGGTCAGCCCTCAGGCCTCGCGAGAGGCGTCGCCCTGCGGGGTCACTGTTGGAGGGCCGGTGTAAAAACACCTGGTGAACCAGAAATTACCTTACACGTGGAAGACTTTGTCATATGCCATGTTAAGACTTTAAAGAAATATTTTAAAAAAAATCAAAAACTGTTTTTTTTTTCCTCTTCTTCCTGGCAACAACAATGCCGATTCGATTCAACCTTTGGGGGACAAAGTGTGCAGATTTAGCAAAAAGGCTTGTCTTATTTTCCTTGGCAAAACTATAAAAACCACCTTCAATCTCAGCCTTCATTGTGGGGTCCTGGGCCCTTTCTGAGCTGAACAAGTTTTAAACAATCGAGTCATTTCTGGAGCGTGTTTCTCTGGGTGCCTGTCATGGATGTCACTGTGTCTGTGCATGCTCATGCGCTAAGACAACGGTGGAGTCTCCTCGTGACATTTTCCTGAGCAGAGCCATTTTCACGTTCAAAGTAGAATTTTAAGTAAAGTAATCTGCATTTCTTTCATTTCAAACCTTGCTTTGAAACATTTCTGACTCAAATTAATTTTGGGGAGAATGGGAATATGATTTAGTATTGTCACCACACTGTCCGTTCTCACTCGCTTGCTGCGTGCTGATTACGCGTTCTGGCCTTGAAAAGGACACTACGTTGTTTATCTTCTTTCTCCGAACTCCAGAAGACTATTTGAAAAGAGTATCTTTTTTATCTTCCGTGCTCAGCCCGAGTTTATACCCCGAACATTCTGACCGAGGACCCCGGCCGGTCGGGAGGGGTAATCTCAGAACTGGCTGCAGCGGGTTATCGCTGGTGAGTGTAAATTATGTGTCGATATAGACGCAAAATATGAAGATGCGGCCCAGGCGGGGTGGCGGGGATGACGGGAGCCCCACACGCTACCCGCACGTGGCAGGGTCTCCGCCACTGTTTGCCGAGTGAATGCCGTGGATGTACTTCCTCGGCGGGCCCGACGGACCGTGGGGTTACAGCGGAGGGCGGGTCTGCGGGCCGATGTGCTGCTGCCCACGCGACTGGCACACACTTGGGCTGCACGGTGTGTGTGTTTTCTTTTTTTTTTTTAAGATTTTATTTATTTATTTTTAGAGAGAGGGGAAGGGAGCAAGAAGGAGAGGGAAAGAAACATCAGTGTTTGGTTGCCTCTTGAGCGCCCCCTGCTGGGGACCTGACCTGTGACGCAGGCATGCACCGTGACTAGGAATCAAACCGGTGACCCTTTGGATCATAGATCAGCACTCAACCCACTGAGCCACACCAGCCAGGGCTCAAGTTTTTAAAAACATGTTTACCGATTTGAGGGAGAGAGAAGCATTGACTGGCTGTCTCTTGTATGTGCCCCGCCTGGAGATCAGACCCGGACTTCTGCTGCACGGGACACCATGCCCACCAGCTGAGCTGCCCAGCCGGGGTGACACTGCGTCTCAAGGCCTCGTCTCTCTCATGGGAACACTGCTTCTCGCTCGGAAGAAGTCACTACACTCTCTAAAACACGATGATGTCATTGTTATAGTTTTATTTACAGCGTGTCAGATACTCTCAAGAGCATACATTATCTAAAAATACATAAATATTCAGAAGAAAACTCAGGTATTCTGTGCTGTCCACACTGAGTTTAAGGAACTTTTAAATCAGTTTTTAAAAACTTATTTAAGAAAAATAACCCAGGAAATTACGTCTAAGCATTAGAGTATTCTTTTTTTAAAAAGATTTTTAAAAATTTATTTTTAGAGAGGGAAGGGAGGGAGAAAGAGAGAGAGAAACATCAATGTGCGGTTGCTGGGGGCCATGGCCTGCACCCCAGGCATGTGCCCTGACTGGGAATCGAACCTGCGACACTTTGGTTCACAGCCCGCACTCAATCCACTGAGCTATGCCAGCCAGGGCTAGCATTAGAGTATTTTGATATTTATTTAGAAACTTGAGAATTCTGGTGACTCATTCAGTTGTTGGTACACTGTTCCAGATTGTTCAATTGAAACGTTATTACCGTTTTTCTTGTCACAGGTCTTGATGACTGGGGCCATATAAATGGGAAGGATTCTGCTTGTAAAAATTAGATTTGGAGTCACGTAATTTAAACTTATACCACTAGGTCCAGGGTTTCTGTTCTTATTGGATTTTCTTTCATCGTTAAAAACATTACTGTACAAGTAGGTTAA